AGGGAGGTGGGGGGCCCCAGGGAGGTGGGGTCCCAGGGAAGGGGGGTCCCAGGGAGGCGTGGTCCCCACACCCTCTCTCTTATTTCTGGGCATCCCCCTATGGCTTCCGCCTGGGGTCCCACAGCCATTAGCACCTGCCAGAACGTAGAAGCCGGAGGAGGCTTTAACTAGAGTGGGCGCCTTTCTCTGCACACCCGCTGGCCAGAGCGCATGCCCACACACACGTCTGCCTGCAGAGCCGGGAGACTCAGGGTGGAGGGGACAGGGACACGGGAATGCCTGTCGATGCCCCCTCGGCTGGGCCCCAGCGGCCATGGCTGTCGGGGGTCCCAGACTTGCCGTGGGGGCCACAGAGGAATGCACGGGCTGCCGGCCTGCTGCTGGCTTCTGCAGACCCCTCCTCCATCCTAGGCTCGTGAGTGCACTTGCCCTCGGCCCCCCAGCACCTGGCTGTGTGGGGAATGGGTGTCGCCTCGCACAGGCCATCGGAGCTCCAAGGCGAGAATGACAAAGGAGGCTCTGGTTCAGGTTTTATTTCTGGAACTTGTATGAAGTCACTAGAAGATGAGAGACATTTCTTCTATTTAAATATTTCTAGGCAACTAGATTCCTGATTACAGACAAAGGGAGCGCGCCTCAGATCTGCAGAGAAAGAGCTGGAAGCGGCAGCATCATGTTTATGCAAACTCCATCCTCCTCGCCAAGGAGAGAAGAAAGGCGGAGGAAAGAGATGTGGAAACCGAGCTGTCCAGCCCAGTCCAGGGGCCGTGGGGGAAGCTGAGGGAGGTGCCTGGGGCGGGAGGGGGGGAGGCCTGGGGAGGGGTCCCCGCACCCTGCCGTCGGAGAGCCAGCTCACTATCGAATCCCCGAATCCCCGTCCCCCTTCCTCCCAACAATAAATAGAAGCCTCATATTGGCCGAATGGGATCCTTTCAGCTTTAAATTGCCTGCTGTGCTCACGAGCGTGCCTGGGAAATTCAACCCCAAATCGGCAAATTTATAAGCGGCACAAAAACTCAGGCTCCTCAGATGAGGTGATGTCCCGCTTCTCTTTGCACACTGAGCAGATGGGATTGTTTGTCCTTCTGAGTTAGACGTGCTGTGTGTGTGTGTGCGTGTGTGGGCACGTGTGTGTGTGCATGTGCATATGTGTGTCTTTTGTCCAAAGCAAATAGGGACCCTCCTTCCAGCGTGACCTGGGGGGGAGGGCAGCAATGGCCTCCGGTGGGAGTGTCACCCCATCGGTTCCAAACCTGGTCCAGAGAAATGGGTCTGCAGCTTCCGAGGCGATTCTAACCGGCATCCTGTGTCCGTCAGCCCCACACAAAGCCAGGGGTGCAGAGCCTTCCCAGGAGACTTTTAGGGACCCGAGCTGCACTGAACAAGCCTGGAGGTGAGATGTTCTCATCTCTCCGGAGATGATCTAACGCGCCCCTTTCCTCCAAATCACCAGCTTCCTTGCGCGTCTCCTTGCAGAAGCCTTCGGTGTTCCAAACAGGGCTCCCACTGGCCAGGGCGGTGCTCCCCCCGCCCCCTTCTCCGCGGGAAGCCCCAGTAGCTGTCACTGAGCGGCTCTGCTGGACGAATCTCCAGGATGGGCTGGGAGAAGGGGCTGGTTCTGTGCAGGGTGCCGCCTGCGATGGTGTGGGGGCGAGGGTCCCAGAGGAACCAGCCCCCAACCTGTGCCCCGAGTGCAGTCTGCCATGCACCTCTCTGCATGGACCCTGCAGCGCACAGGGGATGAAACCCCACACCTACACTCGCTGAGCCCCTGTGGCCTCGCCTCTCCATCCTCACCTCTGGCCATGGGGCTCTTTCCAGACCACCCCGTGCCCCCCGCCAGCCAGGCCCCCCAGCCCTCCTCCCACCACGCCCATACCCCCATCGGAAAACACGTGTGCACAGTGGGCCCTGAGTGCTGGGAAAATGGCCTCATGTCAGTGGGAGCTGACCACACTCAGGAAGTGCTGGGCAGGGGGGCAAATGGACGGCGGATGCAGGGGGGCCTCAGGAGAGGGCCTCTGGTCAGTGGAAACTCTCTTTGACCCAAGGGCGGGAGCGGGGTTCCCAGGGCCGGCACGGCGCCCGTTGTGACAGCGCCCACATGTCTCTATTGCACATTCAGCCAACAAGGGGCCGCCCAGTCACGAGCCTGAGCAGCAGCTCCCGGGAAGGGTCATGTTGGACGCACGCACCCCCTCTGGGGGCCCTGCTCACTCTTGCTCTGGGCACCACTTTCTCTGGAAACCACACGCCCGCCTGGGGAGGGGGCTCAGGGCACGAGCAGGAGGTGGCTTGCCAGTTAAGGTCTTTGGGGCCCCTGTGCCTGGGTGCCCAGCGCACGCACACGCGCAGGACCGTGAGGGGCCAGGAGCCGGGCCACCAGGATGGGCCTGGAGGCCGGATATGCGGTGAGCACGCGGGCGTCCGTGAGGGAGGCCCTTCTGCCCCTCCGCCAGCTCAGCGCGCACTCACACCTCGCTCACGCTTGCACGTGTGTTGCTCTATTTTTACAATTTTCCTTGGAATGGTGTACATTCTGGAACATATGCAATTTCCATGCCGTGGATGAGAAAACCTTCAGCTAAAGCCCCGCACGATGCACATTACGTTTCTTCAGTGTCTCCAAAGCGGCGCGCTCCCCGTCCCTCGCAGGAAACATCATCCTGATGTGCTGACGCGGCGCTGCCGTTAACTTTTTTCTTTTAATTTAGGAAGATGTCTCTTGCCAGCAGAGCTGTCCTCCAGCCAACGGGGCCCAGAGGAGGGAGAGGCACACCTCCAAAGCAGAAGGGGCCCCAGGGCGCCAGTGATCCAGGCACCCAACTCCCGTAGCCAGAACAACACTCCTTCGGCCACCAGGACCATCGCTCCTGAGCCGGGTAAGTGCCCCCCACCCCCCCCCACAGCTGTGGGGCGGGCGGCTCAGGGGCCTCAGCGCACAGGGGACGGCCAGCTCCCCCCACACCTCCGCAGTATCTGGAGCGTGGGGGCAGGGCAACGGGCCCCCGCTCCCCCGAGGTTAGCCAAGTCACCTGTCACCCCAGGTGCTGGGCACCCGCCAAGGGCACGGCCGGGTCGTCCACAGACACAGCCGGCCCCGGGGCCAGCCCTCCCCACACCTGGCCAACACTTGCTTTAAAGGGTCTCAGCTGTTTAGGAAGTGATTGCATCAGGGGAAGTCAGCGAGAAAGGGCCAAGCCAATTGGAAGGTTCCAGCTCTGCGCCGTCTGGGGTGTCAGTACACGGGAGAGCGGCTCCGCGCCGGCCGCCAGGGAGCCCCCGATGAGGGCCTGCTGCCCGCTTTGTAGAGCGAGGCCTTCCAAGTGACATTTCCTCCATGGTTTTAAGCAAATGCCTTGTCCTAATATTTGTGCTAAGTTGACTTTCATGATTTTTTAAGCTCCTGCATTGGCTCAGAAAGAAATCTTTGAAAAGAAGGCCAGCTTAGTGGAAAGGTCAGGGGTTTGAAAACCAAACAGTGAGCTTAAGCAGCTGGGCCAGAGCGCGTCTCCACCGCGCTGTCCTGGGCAGCAAAGGCACAGGCCCCCGTGGTCACAGGCTGCTGCCTTCCCCTTGGGAGGCGGCTGGGAGAGGTGCCCAGACGGGCGGGCCCTGGGAGGCGTGTCACCTGTGTGCCGAGATGGCAGCGAGCCCCCGGGCTCCAGCGCGGCCTGGCGCCATCACTTCCTCTTGTGACCCTCACCCCTGCACCCCCCAGACCTGCGGACTTAGTCGGTGGTCTTGTCTTCCAGACAACAAGCTGGTCTAACCCGGCGGGGTTTCCGTGTAACGCTCGGTGTCCTGGGCGCCTCACGCCCTCCGAAGCCAGTGCAGCACCATCAGCAGCTCCCACCCATGGGCGTTTGCTGAGTGTCCGCTGGGGGCCAGTACTGACCGTGTGTGCCACAGCCCCCCCCACCCCAGGGAGCATCTGTTCAACCGCCATTCCCATTTTACAGATGACAAATTGAGGCACAGGGAAGCTGAAGCCAACGCCCAGATATGACAGAGCAGGGCCAGGAGGAGTAAGCTGCGTCGTTTGCCTCCAAGCCTCCTGTGCTGCTTCCCGAGAAGGGACGCTCGTGTTGTTTGAAGGCTGCATTTTTAAGCAGGTCGTTTTCTGTGCTAGGACCCCCGATGAGGCTCCCCTGCAACAGGCAAGCCCAAAGCCAGTTCACAACACGGGAACAAGCACAGACCCACTGCAGAACACGCGGTGGGCAGGGCTGGGGGGCGGGCCGGGGGCTGGGCAAGCTTCTTAGGTCTCGCTCCCTTCCTTCAACCCCGTGGGCCTATGGAGGATTCCTGTTAGCACAGCGGGGACAGCCAGTCAGGTCTACGCAGGGACAAGGCCAGGCCTTGAGGTTGTGACCTCCAGGGCCACCCTTCCCAACCCCTGCTGGGCATGGGCTCAGAGGATGACTTGTGATGATCAAATCCAGGCGGTCGTAAGGGGGGTGGTGTGCCCACTTACACCCACCCCGGGGTGCCAGGCGCAGGAACCCAGCCGGCTGGGAGAGGGTGCTGTTTTCCTCCCTGCTTTCAGCCCGCCTCCCTCCCAAGGGTGCTGGAACCCTCCTGGAGGGGCAGCGCCCCAGCCAGACCAACGGGGCTCACCTCCCTCACCCCTCTGAGCCAGCCAGAAACGCCCTGGGGGCAGGTCCCTTCCTGGGGCGGGTTGGGGGGCCCCTGAGAAGTTGGGAAACCGGGAAGGGAGGGCGTGCCCCTGGGAGAGGGTGCCTGGAAAGCACCACCATCCCCTACGCAGCCCCGGGAGCGGGGAGCGGCACTCGGGCTGGGCGGGGACAGAGGCTGGGGCCGCCCCCGCCCCCCGCCGCCCTGCGCGCCGCGCCGCCGCCGGTGGAGCCGAGGAGGCACGGAGCCCGGGAGGGCTCGGGCGCGGCGGGCGGGGCGCGGGGCGGGCGTGCGCGGGGAGCGCGAGGGAGGAGAGCGCGGCGAGGAGTGAGCGCGCCGGGGCGGCCGTGCGTGCGCTCCGCTCGGCGCCGCGGGCTCTCCGTGCGCCCGGGACCCGCGGGGCGCGGAGGTCGAGGGAGGAAGCCGGGGCTAGCGGGGAGCAGCGGGGCAGCCCCGGCCCCGGGCCAGCGCGCCTCGAGCGCTCGGCGCGGCGCCTCCAGCTGGACGGCGCGCCCGCCCTCGGCCTCGCGCCCACCGCGCCGGCCTCCTCCGCTCGGTCCCCGCCGGAGCCGCGCCCACCATGCGCCTCAACAGCTCGGCGCCGGGTCCCCGGGGCGCGCCGGGCGCCAAGCCCTTCTCGCTGCCACCCTCGGGGCTGGAGGCGGCGCTCCTGGTCCCCGGCTTCAGTAACGGCTCCGGCAACGAGTCCGAGCGCCTCCGAGCGGCGCCCAGCAGCGACCTGGATGTGAACACGGACGTCTACTCCAAGGTGCTGGTGACTGCTGTGTACCTGGCGCTCTTCGCGGTGGGCACGGTGGGCAACTCGGTGACGGCGTTCACGCTGGCGCGCAAGAAGTCGCTGCAGAGCCTGCAGAGCACCGTGCACTACCACCTGGGCAGCCTGGCCCTGTCGGACCTGCTCATCCTGCTGCTGGCCATGCCTGTGGAGCTGTACAACTTCATCTGGGTGCACCACCCCTGGGCCTTCGGCGACGCCGTCTGCCGCGGCTACTACTTCCTGCGGGATGCCTGCACCTACGCCACCGCCCTCAACGTGGCCAGCCTGAGCGCGGAGCGCTACCTGGCCATCTGCCACCCCTTCAAGGCCAAGACCCTCATGTCCCGAAGCCGCACCAAGAAGTTCATCAGCGCCATCTGGCTGGCCTCGGGCCTGCTGGCCATGCCCATGCCCTTCACTATGGGCCAGCAGAACCGCAGCGCCGACGGCCACCATCCCGGTGGCCTGGTGTGCACCCCCATCGTGGGCACCGCCACGGTCAAGGTCGTCATCCAGGTGAGCAGCCGCTTTGGGGGAGGAGGGCCGGGAAAGAGACCGGGGTCTCACCTGGGGGCTCGGGTCACAGGCACCCCTTTAGGGAAGCTGCAGGCGTCTCTTTCCCTCACCCCAAAAGTAGTTTCTGGTCTGCGTCCCCCCGGGACAACGCGCTAGAGAGTGTCACCAGGAAGTTTTACTCCTGCGAAGCTGGGAAGGAGATGGGGGGCAGGGGGTCCTCAGGATCAGCCTACCCCCCTCTTCCCACGTTGCATTGCTGAGCTGCCAGACCTTGCCCCCCCATCTCATCCCCCCCTTCTATCAAAGGGGCTGGGTCTTCAGATCAGTGACCTCTCTGAGGGTCCCCGGATGGGCCTCAGCCACCTCCAGACTCCCCTGTGCATGCCCGAGGCCGTCCCTTTCATCAGCTTCTCAAAAGATTGTGTGACCCCAAGAGGCTGCGTCCTTCTCCTCTGCGGCAGAGCCCCTGGGGTCAGCACTGCCCCCACCCCCACCGCCGTGCCTCCTGGCTGCCTCCTGCTCACAACTTGGGAGGTGGAGCTGAGCCTGACACCACCTGGGGTCGGTTCCTTAGGTAAGCCTCGGTTTCCCCATCTGTGAACGGGGGTGATCACAGCCATGGCCGCAGTGGCAGAGGATTCAGGAGAAAGCGTGGGGGGCGTGCCTGATGCCTCGGGGCACGCGGAAGTGCTCAGGAGCAGTCATGCTGGTAGTGGTGCTGGTGACAAAGTTGCGTCAGGGAAGATCGTGCGGCACTTGGGCGCGGCGGCGGTGAGGGGCCTGCGTGAGGCGGGGCGCTGGAGCCGGGTTGGGAGCCAGCCCTCCAAGGGTCTGAGCAAGGTGCCGCGGGAGCCCAGGCGGGGGCCCTCCCTGGGAATCGGCTTGGACGAGGCCTCCTGGCAGACGGGGGCGAGGGGGGCTCTGGCCCTGGAGAGAAGGTCTCAGGCCGGGACCACCGGGCAAGGGCCCTGAGTGCGAGGAGGTCCAGGCGGCAATGCCACTGTGGACGGCATCACGGTCCCAGGACCAGGCAGCCGTGGCGGTGCAGGGTGGGATGGGGCCGGGGGGCCGGGCGGGGCCGGGGGCCACTGTCCCCGTGAGGCTGTGCGTCCGCACATCCCAGCAGGACTCATGCCGCAAGCAGGGCGGGACCCGCCGTGTGCACGCCACCCCCTGGGCTGTGCTGACCCTCCACAGGCCACTGGCGAGAGCTTGTGGCCACGGGGTCCCCTGCGTGGAGAGGCACCCCCGCCCCTGCCACAGGCAGCAGGGAAGTCAGGAGAGGCGGGTCGTCTGTCCGCCCTGGAGGAGTTGCCGCAGCTGCTGCCCGGGCCGCGTTTTCTCCCTTGCTCGCTCCCTCGCCCGTCTCTGCTCGGCCGGCCTCTCCCGCCTGTGCTGGGGGCTGGGGGCGTAGCAGCCACACCTCCTGCCTTCAGAGGTGTAATGCGGCTGGTTCGGGTCGGCAACTGAGTCGGAGCGCTTGCTGCCTCCACCCCGGGGGACGCCTCCCCTCGAACCCCCGCCCCTCTGGCTCCCGGTGGGGACCGGGGGCCTCGGCCAGGAGCGGTCGGATTTGGTTCTTCAAACACAACCACGGCAGAGCAGACTGGGCACGCGCCCCCCAAAGTGTCCTCTCCGTTGGCCTTGCGCAGTCAGATGCCTAAGTGACACGCTTCACCTCTCAAAGGGCCACCTCTCCGAGTCCCCGTGCTCAGAGGGTGCCGCACCCACACGCCCAGAGCGCGCCCGTCCTGGCCGTTGGGCCTCTGGGCAGATGTGTGCTGAGCACTGACTGCAGACAGGCCCCACGTCGGCCCCACGGACCGAGTGCTGCCCCGGCGCCTACTGAGTGCTCCCTGGCTCCTGACAGCCTCCGAGATGGGCTCCCTCCAGGCGCCCTGCCCTCCGTGCCCACGGCTGAGGGTGGATGCGAGGAGCGCAGCCGGGCCCTTCTGCACGCCCCCCTCCATCTCAGGAGAAGAGCCCCCGCTTCACGTTCCCCACTCGGGCTTCTGGGCCGCGTGGCAGGACGGGGGTGCGGGGTGAACACCCAGTGTTTTGAGCAGCGACGTCTACGCAGCGGGGGGGCTGGTGCTTGCGTCCGTCCTCGGGTCGCCCTCTCACCGGCGTGGTAGGAGTGAGGAGGCCGTGGCCAATCGCGTGGCCCCTCTTTCCGAAACAGGGGCCTCTCCCCACGTGTCTCCCAGGAGGCCGCCCGCCCTCCCCACCCGAGGGAGCCCGTCCGGGGCACTTGCGTACAGAACTGGTGCTTAGAAACGAGGTAGTTTCGGATCAGATATTGGAGCAGCTTAGACTAGTCCTTGCTGAACACATCTCGGCGGCGTCTAAGGGCGCAGCCTGGAGCCGGGCTGCGCGGAGCTGGTGCAGAGGCCCCAGACCCCGGGCCCCCAGTTGACCGGGGTGTCCGTGAGGAGGAGCCCGTTCCCTGTCAGTCTTTCCAACAGACTGGTGGTTACGGCGAAGCCTTCAGAGTGGAAGACACGTGTGTGCCAGTCACTGAGGTGTTCTCCCACTAGAAAGTTCCAGTGAGAGACAGCGCTGCCTCCACTGTTCACACAGGTGTCGGCCCGGGGTGGGCAGCGGGCCGCACAGCCGGGCCGCCCCCGTGCCCGGGACTGGGTGGTGTTCGAGCCCGCGGCAGCCCTGTCTCACCCCCACTCTCTGCTGCCGCTCGGGTGGGGCAGGGCCCACGCACGTCCGTCCGTCCGTCCGTCCAGTGAATGTGTCCGGGGCGCTTACTGGGTGCGGCAGGTTCCACAGAGCAGCCGGCCGGGGAGACCGGTGACCCGTGGGGGCAGACACCTGGGCACTTTGAGCACCTGGTTCAGATCTGATTGGCCGGAGGCTGGTCCAGCTCCATAATCCCGGCGGCCCCCCGGCCCTGACCCAGGACTCAGCGGCACACAGGCCGCCCGCCCACCAGCTCTGGCCTGGTTCCAGCCCCGGCTCCCTAGACACGAGCCTCCCCCGTGTTCTCCCAGTTAAAGCAGCAGCGAGGGGAGCGCTGACCTCCTCCAGACCGGGTTCTAAGCCTGGGGGACTATCCACGTGTACGCAAACGTACAGGTGCACACACACAGGCACACACACACACATACAGGCATGAACATGGGGATACCCGAGGAGGCACACGGAAGTGCACGCGCGTGTACACAGACATGCAGAAGGACACATAGACACGTATGCGTGCTTGCACATGCAGATGCTTCCATACACGCACACATGCGTGAGCACACAAGTGCACACACAGACACGTATGCATGCCTGCACACACAGAGGCCTGCACACACACAGATGCACGTGCACGCAGGCTGCACACAGGCATACACGCACAGCGTGTGCTTGACCGTGTGCCCGTGCAGCGTCCTGTCCACCCTGCGGGCTGTCTGCACCCCTCAGTTTTGGCAGGTGCTCTGGGAGGCCCCGTCTTTTCTGTCAAAAGTACAGAGGCCTCTGTGCTGCTCGGGGCACGGCACCTGGGGCACCGGTGTGTGCAGCAGGCAGGTGAGCAAGGCCGAGAGCCCAGCCTGCTCTAACAGGTGCGGGGCGCACCGACCCCCAGGATCAGGATCAGGGCCACCCCACCCTCGGTGCTGAGGGACACGGCTGGGCAGAATCCCAGGGCCCCAAGCCAGCAGCCACGTGGTGCCCCGTGCGGCCTTGTCCTGTCCGTGGCCAGTGTCCCGGGGCAGTGGGGCCTCGCCTCCAGGGAGAGCCGGCTCTGCTGTTTCTTGGTAAATGTGCAGTCTCTGTGCTGCTCAAGCCAGGGGTAAAGTATGTCCCCCCCTCGGAGAGATCTGCTCTGTGACCAGGGCCACAGGGAGCCCAGAAGCCTTCCCAGGGCCGAGCAGCTTCGTGCCCACCACAGTGCCCCGGTGAGGGCAGGGGCGGGGGCGCTGAGCCGGGACGGCCCCCCCACAGCGCAGGGCAGGAGCTCAGGGGGGCAAGGGGGGCCGGTCGGCGGCAGCGAAGGCTGTGGAGCTGTCACTTCGTCGCTGCGGTTTCCAGCCCCTGCGGTCCCCACGGAGGCTGCGCGGCTGAAGGAGCCTCTCCTGGGGGCTCCCCGCTTCTCTGTTCACCTTCCCAGACAGACGTGCGGGGGGTGGGGGGGAGGGGGTGCACTCTCTCTCCCGAGGATCCAGGGCGTGGGGGAAGGGCTGGTGCCCCGCACCCACCTGCTCAGAGCCCGAGGCAGCTCCGTCACCGGCCCCTGAAGTCTGACGCAGTTCCACAGAGGCAGAGGCAGCCAGGACCTGTCTCCACAAAGTGGAAGAAAATTGGTTCCAATAAAATTAGAGCAGGAGACGTTTTCTCAGGACGTCTGTCCTGTGGCACCTGATTCCCCGCTCCTCCCCTGCCCGGGAGCCACAGGTTTGATGATCGCAGCTGACCGGCCTCAGTGACGCTGACACCCATGGGTGATGGGCAGCGAGCCGCAGGGGCCCCACAGACGTGACCTGCAGCGGGGGAACGCGGCGGCCCCAGGGCGCACAGCTCCCAGCTGGCGCCTCGCGTCCTCCAGCCCCGGGCACGGGCGCAGCACCCCTCCCAGGGCACAGCCCCCCGTCTCCTAAACGAGGGACCTTCTGAAATCAGCCCCTGTGCTCGCAGCAGCGCAGCCTCTCAGGTGCACCAGGCACGCAGCCTCACCTGCAAGGGGGCCGGGTTCCCAGCTGGATGCGGGGCTGGAGAGGCCATCGCTGTGCAGGCCGAGAGCCGGCCGTCAAAGCCGGGCACTGCCCGCGGTCCGATGGGGCCGCGAGCGGACCTGTGAGCTCAGAGTTGGGTCACGGGGCCACGGTTCTGGGACCCGACGACCAGAGTCCAAGGACAAAGTCCTTCCCGAAGCCCAGTCCCCAGTGGTGAGGGGCCGGCGACGCCCAGGGGCTGTTCTCACTGCCTGAGGGCAGACTGTCCCCCGAGGGCGGGCGGGCAGGAGAGGTAGTCGAGGGTGGGCCCTGCTGGGGGGAGCCTGGGGG